TCTGAGCTATCTGGGACTTCTCGATTCCGCTCCTTTTTCGTGCCTCGTGCGCAAATATCCTCGTTCGATCATCCTGCAAGGGAAATGGAGGAAAGAATCCTACCCATGACCATCTAATGTCCTATTATGCCTAAGATATGAGAAAAATCAAAGTGTGTGACGTTAGAAAACCGGTGAAAAACCCGTGTGATCAAATCCCCCCAGACTTGAGGTTTGCTCTTCCTCGAGTAAGTGTGCAGCTATAAAACTATTCAGGGGTGATAAGATATAGTCGGAGAACAAATGGGGGTTTTGAGTGGATTGGTTGTACGGGTTAGAGTCGCTGCGAATGAAATCGGGTTTGGTGTACTCTATCTTCTCCAACATTCAAGCGAAATCTCATCAATGGGATTTCCATTGTTTCCCGCAATCTAAAATGGAGTATATCCTACTTGCCGAGCATGTCTCCTAAACACATCCCAATTGAGGTCTCTAAAAGTTACTTGGCTCATACTTTCACTATTTTTCTTTGCTCTATCTCTTTCCTTTTTATTCTTGTTTTTGTATTCTTTTTCTTTTTCTTTCTTTCCCTTTCTCATGCAATCCCGGGCTTCTAGGACGTTGGAATTTGACAAGCGTCACTCTCTCTTTTTTTTTTCTTTTCTTTTGTGTTCTTGTCCCACAACTTAGACCCGAGCCTTCGTTTCCGATGCAATCATGTCCCCGAATGATTTTCATTAACGAGATGATGACAGAGGAGTGTCGGGTTGCATCGTATTCTCTAGGGCTTGTTGCTTCCTATGAGCTTCCTAACTTAGAGGTCAAAGGGTGGTTTTTAGGGAGACGTTTCGTGCTTGGTTTGTAACCTCTACTCCATCTAGACTTTAGGAGGCAAAATCATCCCACGTGACATTCGTTCGCTCTAAGATTGGATCAGCTATTTCTACCTCACTCGACAATCCATTCAACTCTTTAGATAAATCTAAACCTAGCTCCTAAAACCTTTCCAAGTCAATCCTTACTCTATATCCCCCACATCGTTATCCGGCCAAATCTTCAAGAGGAAAAACCTTATGCAAGTGTATGCATGCATTTTTTTTTTCAAGAGTATGGAATGCATGATTTCTAAGTGCAAATGATGCATAATGTGTAGAGTCCATGGGTACGATAGACGTTAGTGTCACTCCTCCCCCCAGACTTGAATCAAACACCGTCCACGGTGTTGACTCTCGTCTAGTGGAGAGAATTCAAAGAGAAATAAGGAATGGATGGAATGAAAGGGGTGGTTGTGTTGCCTTGTCCGATGAGGTGGAATCGCATTCCAATTTCTCTGTTGCGTGTGTCGTAAACCCATGAAACCTATACAATGTGAGGAAACTACAATACTATGCGATGTTAGCTGAAATGAATGCAAGGGGTGAGGGTTAAGAGGGAGGAGCTCGTTATAACGAGCGGTCGCTCGCTGTGACAGCCAAACAATCGAGCAGTCGCTCGGAGAATCAGGCGGTCGCTCTGTGCTAATACGGAGAACGAGCGGTCGCTCGGT